CCATATTAACATGACCATAAACATTTTGATGAGTGTCAGTTTCTAAATGGCGTTTCACACACATCTCGTCTACAGTTAGATTGCAATAAACACGACCAGCAGCTACTTTTTGTTTTATTGCTTCTAATGCCTCTAATGTAAAACCTGGTTTACCATCTACTACTGTGTACCATCGCCTTAGTGTTCTAGGATGTGGTAAAATATTTGAAAATGATTTTCTTACATAAAGGTATGCCCTGGGTGAATAATATTGTAAAGTTAAGGCAAATTCGCGTATTTCTTTGGGATAAGTAAATTGTTTTCCTGAACGAGCTTTTTTTACAATTGACTCCAAAGTATCTGATCCCATAGCCTATCTTTGTAAAAATAATTGAATACTATCATGTTATCATTATTATTTAATAAAATAGTTTTACACATAACCTCAAAAAGCCTCATATCGTCTTTCTCTCTTCCCCAAAAAATCACACGGCCTCATATGGAACTGGTATAGGTATGTCCTATCCATTCTTATATTATCTATGGCTCCAGCCCCTTAGCCTGCATCCAGACGTCAACAGCCTCCAACACAGGGTTAATCGCGTCCTCGAGGAGTCTTCCGGTCTTGACCACCCCTACAACGGCAAGGTCTTCCGCGAAACCGATCAGGTGTACTCCGGCGGGGACGTCCATGCCCAGTAGCGAATCATAGGCAACGTTCCAGAACGTGGACCCAAGGACGGAGCCCTGGGGGACGCCGCAGGTTACGGGCCCCGGGGTCAGTTCGTCTCCAGTCAGCAACTGGCGGTCTGAGAGCCAGGAGCGGATCATCACGACCAGGTACTCCGGAACCTTCTTTTTTCTCAGGGCTTAATCGATGACTGGCCATCTCAGCGAATTGAAGGCGTTCTTAACGTCGAGGGTGATTAGCACGCACAGTTTTTTCACGCTTGGCCAGTGGCAGCAAGTTTCGCGACGTTCAGGACGTGCTCGATGGCCGACTCGGTGCTAACCCCCTTTCGGAAGCTGAACTGATTCGGTGCCCTCCTTCTGCTGCCGTTTGCGTCCAGGTGCGCTTCCAGCCTCTGCAGCAGGAGCCTTTCGAGCAGCTTCCCGGGGGTGTCAAGCATGCATATGGGCCTGAAGCTGGACGACTGATCCGTTGGCTTGTCGGGACCCTTCCTTAACAGCACCAGGCGAGCTCTCTTCCGCCGGGGTGGAAACGTAAGTGCTGACAGGCAGTCATTGTAGACTTGGAGAACCCTCCGCTGATGTCGGACGACTGCGGCTTTAATTATTTCGATGGGGATTCCCGACGTACCCGGGGCCCTGCCCGAAGTGAGCCTTTTTGCCGCCTTAACGAGCTCGGCCGACGTAAAACTCGGTATGTGCATTTGGAACTCGAGCGCACTATTGTCGGGATTGAAAGCTTCAAAAATGTCGTATGTTACGGGAGGGGAAGCCTCGTCACAGTTCGTTGCAGCGGCCGCCGGGAAAAGAAAGTCGGCGATGGCGGGATCATTCCCTTTGGCGTCTGCCCCGGGTGGTCTGCCTCCAAATTTCTTCATAACTATGCGGTAAGGCTTTCCCCACGGGTCGTGGTCCACTTGGTCGCACAAGTCAGACCAGCATTTTGACTTGGCGGCCTTAATCGCCATGCGGAGGTTCCTTCTTGCAGCGGTTAATGCGATCCTGCTTTCCTCAAGACCGAGCTGACCGGTACGCTTCAGGCAGGCTTGATAGCGCCGGCGAAGAGCTAAGCAGCACCGGCGCAGGTCTGCTATCTCCTCAGACCACCAGTGAACTGGAGTTTTGCCCTTAGGGCCTGGCCTTCTTCTGGGCATGAACGCCTCGCAAGCTCCGACGAGATACGCGTCGAGGGCGTTGGCTGAGGCCAATGCTTTGGCCACCGTTGATTCGCCTGCGGGCGTTTCCAGGAGAGAACTGGTGAGATAGTCGAACAGGGCGACGTCGTCACGCTCTCTGGCAGACCAGCCGCGGTGCTCTATGTCTGGTGTCTCGACGGGATCGAGGACTGGCCGCTGCGGTGCCGTTCGGTAGAACACAAACGAGTGGTCGCTCAGAGAGTCCTCATCTAAGACCTGCCAGTCGACTATCTCCACGTCCCTGGAGAACGTGACGTCGATGACCGAGGTCGCAGCTGCTTTCCGGAACGTCGGGGTGGAACCCGTGTTGACGATGGTGAGACCCATGCCGTTTATCAGGTCAGACAGCAAGCAGCCTCTAGGGTTGTTTACTCTTGACCCCCACTCGACGCTCCACGCGTTGAAGTCACCGGCGACTAGAAGCTCGCAGGCCCCTTTGCCTCGGATGGCCGCTTCAAGGTCGCCTAGGAAACGTGTGTACTCTTGCAATGTGGCGCCAGGCCTATAGTAGCAACTGAAGACAGTGAGGTTCCGGAAGGACATCCACGCAAATCCGTTGCCAGAACCCTGGCCGTCGTGGGTCAAGGTGGTTCGAGTTGTGGTTGCCACCGCCGTCATCCGGTCTTCGCTGAAGCACCATCTGGACTCGTCCCCACAGCGTCTGTGTGGCTCGCTGATCAGCAGGACGTCCGCCTCGGTGTCCACCGCGGTTTGAAACATCATTTGTTCAGCGGCCCGTTTCTGTTCAGGTTGATCTGTAAGAAGTTAACCATCGCAGGGGGTGTATAGCTTCGTACCGACGGCCAATCGTCTGGCGGCGCAGGCACCCGATCCAGGTCTATGACTGGCCTTCGGGAGTCCCGCTAGCTGGCAGGCCAGGCAATTGTCTTCAGACGCCTTGCAGTCCTTCATGAGGTGGTCGGCGAATCCGCACTTCCAGCACGCGCTGGTCCTGTCGGGTCCCGTACAACCTCTGGAGTTGTGCCCGAATCTTTGGCAGCGGAAGCACCTTTCTGGAGGCAAAGTCCTCACGCGCACCCGGTACATCGTCCATCCGACTGCCACTCTCCTAAGAGGGAGGCGGCGTGTCTGGATAGCTTCGCAGTCGCTATCTGCTGACCGGACCTGGTTGGCCAGATCTGGACATCACCGATACTATCCCTGTCTGCCTGGGCCGCAGGGTCGTCTTGACTAGGTATGGCGGAGCGCAGAGCTTCAAGTACTTCAGCTGCGGTGGAAACAGCGTCCAAGTCGAGAATCTCTATCTCCGTCTGGACGCCAAGTTGGGACACCTTCCCAACAGAATCCCCGAGCTTAGTACTAATGGCGGCGGCAATAGTCTTGGCTGCTGACACCGACTTGGATCCCTTGCCTAACTCCAGTAACAACGATCCGTCCCGAGTCTCCCTAATCGTCACACTCGTGCTGATGTCCTGCGCGGATAGACCACACGCGCGAACCGTTCGCATGGTGTCTGTGTTCGCCTTCCCCTCGGCCGGTCTAACAAGGATGGCTGGCGGCTTGGCTCTGACGGACGGCTTGTGCGGGGCAGGTAGCTTCGGAGGTTAGGTTAGGTTAGGTTAGGACAGGCGCGGGTCAGTGGCGGTTTTCCACTTCGTGTTCCCTCTCTTAACGACGTTTGTCCACGGGGCTTCCACGTCGGTGTCCATGGCTGACTCCATCTCCGTGTCCCGTGCTTGGACGAGTGTTCGGCGGTTGGCAAACGCTTGCGAACTGGCCGCATCCTGCGATTTGCGCGCCCCCTTCTTTCTCTTCCTACGTTGGTCGGCCTCGAACACTTCCTCGCTGTCCCACCAGCTCGGGGTCAGTATGGTGTCCGTACTAGCATCGCCGTGACTGGTCTCTCTGTGTCACTGTTTAGCCTGTTTAAGGGACGGAGACGAGGGAGGAGAGACGAGCTTTCCCTTTTTTGTCAGGAGTCCATCAAGCACCTTGAACATTTCCGCGAGAAGAGATGCCAGGCGGTGAATCCCTGGGACGTCCTTATTTGGTTTCATTTTGGTCACATTCACGGTGGACTGCAATGTCGACCTTATGAATCTCAACCCGGCCTCGATATCGGACGGTCCCTGCTCGGCGCTAGGGCTATCACTGGTGTCATTTTTCCTCTTTCCTTATGTCATAGGAAGCTCGCCCGTGGTGAAGTACCAGGAGGTGGGCGACATGTTGCACACGTCGGTGACCTCGGAGTCTTCCTCCATCATGTAAATATCATTTTCGGACATGCTGGCTGTGGGGGGGTTTTTGCCCTGGGGGTTGGCGCGTTTGGGACGCGGCCCCTAGGGAGGGGGGAGTGGTGACCCTTGTCGTGGCTTCTAGGCCTGTTCAGATCCGGACTTCGGGGCCGACGAAGAGTGTTCGGCTCTTGGCCGCGTTCTTCAGCGGGCTGACCGGCTGAAGGCCCTATCTCCGCCCCGGGGGGGGGCTGGAGGGTTCGGGTTTTCGGGTCCTTATTGGGGTTGCCCCAGCGAGGTTGGTGGATTTCGGGGGCCAAATTTTTGCTCCCGGAGCGATCGGAGGTGATCCGGCCGAGATATCAGAGGGGATACCGGTTCGGGGGACCTTTTCACGCAAGTAGAATCGTGCCCCGCGGGGGGTTAAGTTAGTCAGGCCGACTCGAAAACGACACCGGCCTGAACGCGAACTTTTTACGCGGTAAGTGGTAACACTTGGCGCACTGTGCGGAGTAAGTACTTAGAGCTGCCACGGGGGGCAGGCCTCGGAGCAGTGGACGTGCAAGAGAACTTGGACGGCGACCTGAGAGGATTACGGGACGGTGTTCGTGCGGACAACGTGTTGCTACTATGACGACCGACGCGCTACTAAACCTAACCTAACCTAACCTAACCTTTTTTTTTATGGTATCGGCAATACACCCACTACCCAGAAACGCCGTTAAGCAATACTTCAGGTAGTGGGTCGCCATCATTTATTGAAAAATTCACAACAAAAGATGTGGGGCGTGGGCAAGACAGTCCCTCAGCCTCAACCCCTCACAGTTAGTTAACAACAAACAAAACAACACTTAATATAATATGCAAATACAATTCATAGTTAATACGAATATTAAATATTATCTCCTTCGCTTGACGGAGCAACACCCTGTCGAAATTGCTATCCACGCTCGGTCTCCTCCTTCTTCGATATCACTGCCCTTACGAACTGCGCCACGGCCTCCCAGTTAGCGGAACTCTCCAACATTTTTGGCACCAGTCCCCCTGGGTCAAATGGTCCGATCACGCCGACGAGGTGCTCACGTTCTTCCCTGAACACTTCGCAGCGAGCAAGGGTGTGATGGGCGTCGTCGACTTCCTCCCCGTAGCCGTCCGGTGGACCGCAGTGTGAACACCCAGCTGATGGTGCGCGGTTGATCCCCAAGAGGAAACGGTTGAAGCACCCGTGACCGGACATCATCTGCGTGAGGTGGAACGACATCTCCCCGAAACTACTACCTAACTTAACCTAACCTAACCGATGACGCCGCGGGGACTGCTTTCGCATTGCTTCCGCGACGCCACCATCATTTATTGAAAAAAACAATACACATTGGCCGATGGCTAAAATGAGAAAAATCCCCCGCCTAGTCCCCTCACAACGATCATTACATATATCCAATGTTAGTTACAGTTTACAAGTTTACATTTATCTGAAATTGTTCATTTTCTCGAGCCGACCGGAGTCCGTCGCCCTTGACTTCTCGTTCGTCCTTTGTTGCGGCGATACCGTGATCGTCCTTCCCTCCCTTGGTGCCACAGTGGGGATGGAGACCCTGGTTGAAGGCGCCTCCAACGTTTCGCCGTGTGAAGACGTTAGTAGGTGACACGTTCTCCATCTTTAGTCTGAGGATCGGGTGTTTGGGATGGTCAGTTCTGTTAGGCTGTCCCGGTCCTTCGTCCTCTCTGGTCGTAGGCTTCTTCCTCGCGTTCGTCAGCTTCTTTGGTAGTCATGATGGATTCGACGATTTCGGAGAACTCCATCCGGTTTGTTCTAACCTATCCTTTTTATTTTTCGGTTTGGAACCAACGGCGCCGCGGGGACTGCTTGCGCATTACTTCCGCGACGCCGCCATCGTTTATTTGATATTTAACAATTTAAACATACGTGGAGGGTAGTCGGGACAATCTCCGAATTACCCCCTGACATAGACCTACGTTATACATTGCGAATACATAATATATATTAGGGGGACGAGGTGACCGAGTGGTCTGATTCACAGGGCTACGTTTTCGATGATTATATCCACTCGGACGCATCTAAAATTACATGTTATGTTGACAAATTATCGTAATTTTGAATTTTATATTTTATTTATGATTTTTATATTTACCTCCATTATTTTACGAGCTATATATTGTGTTGTGTATATATTAACATGTGAGGGAAACTGGTACATTTAATTGATACACTTTTTATGCGTAGTAACACCGCTTGGCACACTGCAGAGGGCGAGTGCAAAAGCTGCCACGGGGAGCAGGCCTCGGAGCGGTGGACGTACAAGTGAGACTTGGACGGCCACCACCGACCAGTGAAGATGGCAGAACGGTGGGCAAACGGACAACGTGTGTCTTGGACGACGACCAACGCGCTACTGAACCTAACCTAACCATGTAGATAACAGAGAATCTGATAGTGCGTTATTTTGATGGCCATTGAGGGGCTATTTGATCCAACTACAAAGACAATATAGCCTTGAGGGACAAATTGACCCCTCATGACCCACTTAAAAATTCTGAGGAGCAAAAATTACCCTTATGGCAGTCAACATGATAAAATGTTCATGGCCATTGCATTTAGATATCTCAAGTTGCAGTTGTCATATTGATGACTGATGAGCTTGTATCACCATGTTCTTTTAACATTTCGTCAGACGTGATAACTATCATGGAATCGTTACAATTTTTTGTGGGCTTCTTAATTTTGGTTAATGACCCAATTAGTAACATAGGCTCTACTGTTTGGATTGTGTCTAAAGAGTAGGTGAAAATTCTTGAATGGGAGTTTCCAAAGTAATTGAATTGAATAAGTTATCCACTAAATAGGTGTCATCATTAGATCATTGAATAAAAATGTCTTCATGTTTTCTAGTCTTCTCTTATTTTCTTATATTATAAAATGCTTAATAGTTGTGGTTTTGTCCGCTCGGTCGTTTTCGGAGCGCGTCTAATCCAAAAATTAGATGTTCCCATATACTTATGTACTTATAGTACTTACTAGGGATGGGCATGAAATCCGAATATCTGAATTATCCGAATATCCGAATATCCAAATCCGGATTTGAATCAAATTCTTATCCGGATTTCCCGAATTATCCGGGTTATCCAGATTTATGGATTTGCTTTTTATGTGACTTCAGACTTACAAATATTTTTAATGTATGGTAAAATAAATTATTTTATTATAATGAAAATTTAACAAAATGTTATATTATATCGAAGTTCGTATCATAAAAATCGTTCGAAATGTATACATTTCAAATAGATAAGTATAGTGTATACCCAATTAATTAATCTTTACTGCATAACCTTCGGATGGTTATTGAAAAAGGTTTTTTGAAGATAAGTTAAATTCATCTTACAACAATAATTGTTATCGATATAATTGTTTACTCGGACATGTTCTTTTACAATTATCAAATAAAAATTATCGAAAAATATCAAGTGGAGAGTGGAGACATATTTGTAGGAATAGTATTTCTGTTGCATCAAACGTGTTAACATTGAATAATTGTACTATAATGCCTCCAAGTAAAATTTGGAATTTTTTTACGCGTGGCGAATCAAATAAAACTGCTATATTATGTTCTGTATGCAACGACGTTTTAAAATATATGAGATCTACATCTATTTTATGGTCGCATTATAATCGGTGGCATAAGCCCACTGCAAACGAAATTAATGAAGAACAGCACGCTAAAGAACATACAGGGTAAGCATGTTATTAATACTACACTGTTTGTGCTTTAATTAGTTATTAAAGTGAGAACTTTATTGCGCTATAATATGCGCTATATGCGCTTAATTGGGGACCTATTTCGTTGAACGTCCGCGTAAATAAATATATAATTGGTTGCTATTGGTTAATTTGGCACGTTTGTTGATTTCTATTATTATTTTTTGTCAATATACATATTTATGTATATAAATGAATGTCTGTGCGTAGATTAGACCTCTGGTAAGAAGATAGGCTAATTTAAAGAGTGTTAAATTTGGTTTTTTTCATTGTATTTTAGTACGGTTAGGTTAGTTTAGGATTTTGTATTATTTAATTATATTAATCCAACTTAGGCGGAATTAAGTAAAAATAACAAACTTGGTAATACTTTGATACTTTACAGTTAAATCATACACTTAGGTACGTACAAACAGTACGGGGTCCGCGATCTACCGCAGATAGATTGCCTACCTGATAATAATATACTGCTGCCGTCAGTATACTGATTTTTAATAAAACAAGGTAATCTAATAACATGACAATGAATAATGATCCCTTGCAATCTACAACAAGATATGGCACTACATTATATGCAGTTTTCTCTGGATTTATCGATACTCTTGAATCAAAAACATTTATATTGTATTATAGTTATCATAAGCCCATTGTTTCATCAATTTCACTAGAAAATTGACAAAATATTACGATTGAACCCGTAAATGATAATAAAATTGATGTTAAACTTGTACCAAATATTGAAAGCGTTGCTGTTGAACCCGAAGAAAATAGTCAATATTTATGTGATAATTTATAAATTAAAAGTTAATGTAGAACCTGCACGAGCTATTGAAAGTGTTATCATTGTATTAGTAGAAAATAATTAATTTTAAGATGACATATATGTATATTTGATTGTTATATTGTAATAATATTTTGCATTTATCATACCATGTCATCATAATATCTAACCTGAAAATATAGTTCTCACTTTTACGGTACGTCTCGCGACGCTCCCATTTTTTATTTAATTTTAATTATTGAATAATTGTTATTACACTAGATTAAAAATCCCAAAATATTTTTTTGTAGAGAAATTGATAGTAATGAGAGCAATAGCGATAATGAACAAATAGCTTCAACATCTTCAACTTTCGTTTCTTCTCAGTCAACTTCCTCATCATCAATCAGCCCTGCTTTGAAACGTAAAAAGCACTACCATAACGATAACATTTGTAAAAGAAATTCAAGACCATTATATAAAAATCGATGTGAAATTATTACGCAAAGTATTTGCAAAATGATAATTGTTGATATGTTACCATTTAGTACAGTTAAAAATAAAGGTTTTCGTTCATTAATTTCAACAATTGAGCCACTTTATACTATTCCATTGCGAAAAAGCATTACTACACGTATTGAAAAAATGTATATAGATAAATCACAAAGTATCAGAAATATCATAGAAAACATTAATTGTATTTCTTTAACAACTGATGGTTGGACATCAACAGCAATTGATTCATATTTAACATTTACTGCTCATTATTTTGATGATAATTGGAAATTGTATAGTGTAACTCTTTCAATTGAAGAAATACAAGAAAGTCATACGGCTGAAAATTTAAAAGACAGTATTATGAATGTTATTGAGTCTTGGAATTTAAATAATAAAATAACGGGAATTAGTCATGATAATGCTGCAAACATTTCAAATGCTGTAAAACTATTTTACGATCAAGATATTTATTCAAATCGTTGTGCTGCTCATACACTACAATTAGCTGTGAAAAAATGTTTGATTTAAATACATGTCGTCCTTTATTAAAAACCGCATCAAAAATTGTTGCTAGTTTTCGACAATCTTCTAAAAGAACATATGCCTTAGAAAATTATTTAGCTGAGAAAGAGTGCAAAAAACTTAATCTTGTACAAAGTTGCCCTACACGTTGGAATTCTACTCTAGGTATGTTAGAACGATTGTTGGAATTTCGTTCAGCTGTAGTTGTCATTATATCTGATCGGACACTTTTTAATAGTAAGATCGCGAAAGATTTACTAGAAGAAGACTGGGAAAAAATAGAAATACTTGTTACTTTATTGAAACCATTAAAAACAGCAACAACAGTTTTATGTGCTGATCAAAATGTCACTATATCAATGGTAAGTTGATTAAAAATTATAAGTATAAATTAATATTCAACAATAATTATTATATTGTAAATATCATAAAATTGTTTTGTTTATTTTCAGGTTTTACCAATTGTTAAAAGTTTTATTGTAAAACATTATAAACCCAATAATCTAGATAGTAGGTTTTCAACTCTATTCAAAGAGACCATTATTCACGAATTATCAACACGTTTTTCTGTACAAATTGATGTTGACAACGATTGCGAAAGAGAAATTAGTAAGTATCACTCAAATGGCTAGCATACTTGAATCCTAGATACAAAAATATGTCATTTGAATCTTCCGAAAATATTAAAAATCGTATTAAACAAATAGTACGTTCAAAAATGGTTTTGTTAAGCAGAAATACTGATGTACGTATACCTACAGAAAAACGCACAGCACTTGATGAATTACTTGAAGAAGAACCAAATAATGATACTGACGAGTTTTCAAGGTATATGGCGGAATTTCAAATAAATCATAATGCAGATCCATGTGCATGGTGGAAAGATCATGAAAACATTTATCCAACGTTAGCCGTATTAGCTAAACAAATATTATGTATACCAGCATCTTCTGCTTCATCAGAAAGAGTTTTTTCAACAGCCGGTAATATATTATCCCCAAAACGTAATAGAATTACACCATGCCATTTGTCAGCCTTAGTTTTTTTAAAACAAAATAATAATTTTTAATTAAAAAAAATAATTTAAGTAATATGCATGAATATGTTTACTGTTTTGTATGAATTATTGTTGTATTATTAATATATATTATTTACCTAGTGAGATTAAATATAATTTTTGCTATGTTATAAAGTATTTATTTTGCTATTTTGATTTTTGTTAGATATTATTTAATAATTATTATATTAAATGTTATGTTACATTATTTTACATTTTTTTTTTTTAGTATAAAAAAATAATAATTAATTTTTACAAATAAAAATGTGCTTAAAAATTTCAATAAAACCATTTACATAATTAAGTAATTGTTTTTATTACAGCTAAGCGCAAAACATCACTAGTACTTAAAATGTGTTCGAAATTTTGTATACCCATGTCTGAAAATTATATTATAGAATTAAAATATTATTATTATATAAAAATGAGTCATTGAACAACAAAATCGAGTTGAATAATCCGGATACTCCGGATAATCCGTGAAATCCGGATTTAACAAATCCGAATAATTCGGATTTTTGAAATCCGGATATGCCCACCACTGGTACTTACCTAACCACGATTAAAGATAGTATGGTTGCCCATCTACCCATGATTCTCATACTTGAAAAGTGGTTAGGTACCGAAATGAATCTCTACTTATCAGTACTAAACAACTGGAGATTCAGGCACTAGCACTTGCATGTAATAGTGGCTATCGCAACTACTATTTCCAGTATTCTTATCATTCTTTTTTTAATACTGCATATATAATTGTATACTAATTCTTTAATAACTGTTTCTATCTTTCTGATGTTTTAAACAATTAAATAATAATGTACATATAATGAATATAATATACCGGCAGGTAAATATACTATACAAATTTATAATATTACAATCATATAACAATTTTTGTTAACTCTTAACCAATTTTGACAGTTTTTTTTTGTGTTATTAATTTTTTTCACTATTCTGGTTCTGTTGGTACCTAGCTATATTGACGCATTCTCATGATCAGGTAATATAAACACATATCCATTAGTATCTCTGTTCGATGTTCAGTGCATGGAAAATCCAAAGTTATATTATGACTTAAAAAATATTCAGAAGCATTTTCAAAAACACTAGGTGCATCAGCAAATTTAGTAAATGGCAACTCTAATGACTTAAATATTTTAAAAATATTATTATTTGGATGGGTTAGGTAGCCTCTACTTTTTATACTCACCAGGTTTGCTTCAGGCCCAGTTTTAGAAGTATTTAAATTCTTTAAATGTACCTTACATGATTCACATTTAGTTTTGGATACTAAACGTTTTGATATATATCTATAAATATGCATTAATTATAAAAGTAATAGATTGAAGCTATGAGCTGTAGAAACTATCTTAATAAATTAGGCAGTTAACTATAGTAAATACCTAGCCAGATAATACACAAGACAATCAAAAACCGTAGAGTCCGAATAATTGTGTTCTAAAAAAATGTCATCAGCTTCCCAACATCCATTATCCACGATTTTATTTATTTTTTGTTTCAAATTTTCAATCTTATTTATTCTAGCTGGTATATTTGTTGGATCGTTAATTATTTCTCTTAGGTCTGCAATTGTAATTTGTAATTGGAACATTGTCTAAAGAAAATTAGAATAATTAAGTGTTTCTGTAAGTAAATTTATACCTACTGTATATGTATATTATTTTCTTTTATAAAAACTTTTACCTTCAAAGGTAGTACAATTACCACTCTTAGGAGGTTTTATCAGTGAATAAACGGACAACATTCTATAAAGCTGGAGGAATGTTGGGGTTGACGGGTGGTCGTTTAGTCCAGAAACCTTGATGCCAAAAAATTTCTGAAATATTATAAATTATAGTGGTTTTATCATTGTTCAATATGATGGTAAAGAAAAAATGTCATCTTAAAATATACTTCTAAACAGTCCTGGTTTAATTTGGCTGTCTAAACATATTTATAATTGCAATTATTTAACAAACAGTCAACAAGGTATATCGTTGATTTCAATGTCATTTTGAGGCCATCAGCTGCCATTTGAGTTAAAAAATCATTTTTTGTAATTAATTGGTCTTTTAAATTTGATTCCCATTCGTTATAAATGCAATAGTTTCTTTTAACACCTATGTAAAATAAAATATTTAACAACTGCTGTGTATTATATCTACTTATTTTACATACAATATCTACAGAGTTCAGCTAGTTAAACAATTGTTAGTTAAATTAATTGTAAACATTTAACACATACACAAGAAAATAACTAGTATAGAGATTTTCATTCATTCATTTTGCAATAGGCATATTATTTCCTTTTTCAGTCGCCTGATTAAGTTTTTAATATTTAATAACATACATAATTTACATACCATGCATCACATATTCACATGTAAGATAAATTATAAGCACTATGACATGTAGAAGATAAATTAGAAACATATTTGAGCAAAAGACACAATCACAAACACTCAACATAAAAAACCTCCATATCATGGCTATTTTTCTTGATTCCTTCTGCTGGATATTTTCTGTTTATCGAATCAAACATAAATAAATTAAGTAAATAAGTAAATTTTACTGTTTTATCAGGATTAATGATATTACCAATATTCTTTTTTTTTATAAAATTTAATAGCAGAGGCCATTGAAATACTAAACAACTAAAACAATTTATTATTATTGTTATTAACACATTTTGTAGATTTCTAACTTGGAAATGTTTAAACAATATTGTTTTACAAAAAAATTATTTAATTCACCTGTGCTGCATACTTGACCTTCATCTTTGATAGGTTATTTAGCACAAAGTGATTGTTATTGATTTTTGGTAATGTTCCCATTTTATTGGAGTTTTTGATGGATGCACCTATAGTTAAATTATAAATATGCTTATTTAAATTAGAGAAGAGTAAACAATCTGAATTGTGTCATCAACTTCATCAGGGATAACTCATAAATCATAATAATACATCTTCATCAAAATCTAAATCAGTATCAAAGTCATCAAAGAGAAACTTATTTTAAACAAAAAACAAAAATATCCTATAGAAAAATCAAAGTTTTCACAACTTCCTGTTTCATCATCAGACAGTGATTTAGAAGAAGAACCCAAATTAGTATCTACAGATGACAAAGATAGTGCAGATGAAGAAGACTTATATAATTGTCTTCAAACTTATAAGACTGATTTTAAAATGAAAAATGGATAAGGTGAATGATAACTGATAAGGTTAATGCATTAAGTGTGTGTTTTGGGCTCATGAATTATGTACTGGCATTGAAAAAGGTAAATGGAAAACTTATACATGTGATATGTGTTTTAAAATTTGACCGATAGTTATTAGAACTGTACTTACCCAAAGAAAATGTTAAAGCTTGAAATGTTTTTTAAAATTTATTATGATTTATCAGCAATTAAATACTATTAATTTGACTTAATAAGTTACCAAAGTCACTATTTATTTTATTTTATAGACATTTTTAAAAACCATAAGTCTAGTTTGTAACTGATGAATTATAAATCATTATCTAGGGTACTGTTAGTAATTTAGTTATAATTAATTAATTAATGAGTAATATTCTTAAAAATGTTATATGATTTATTAATAAATACCTAAATAATATAGAGTTTTGCTTATTTAACTACTAAAGTTTATTTTATTTTATTTTATTGATTATTGATTTCATTAAAAGATTTAAAAAACTATAAGAGTGATCTGTATTATATTCATTTATAGTCAACATACTGTTGGTTATTTTGTTGTTGAATTATTTATTATTATTTTGTGAGATACACTAAATATGTATGTAATTACTATATTACTGGTTTTAAATAAATATAATATTTTACCAAATTGGTACTTAAAATTGTATTTTGTTTGTATATATTGACACTCCAGTATTAGAGTCACCTACTATCCCATATTACTTATTAGGAACTTAATTTGAAATAATGAATTTACTATGTTTTAATATTATTTCAAAATAGATTGTAAATTTACTTTACTAAACCTAAAAAAGTACTAATAAGTATGCATACACATACGAATATTAATATTAAAAATGCTGAAAAAAAGTTAATTTGTCTACCAAAAATTGACAATTAACTAACACTATCCCATATATATCCCACTATCAGCACTTTTGGGTGGCAAATCTACCATAATTGGCAAACTTGATGAGCTTCTCGAGAGCAAAGCAACATTGATAAACCACCAAGAAGACTAGACTTTTTTTCTAAGTATAAGAAGTTATTACCAGTTGCCAATGAAAACCAATTAAAGGAATTGGAAAAAGAGTTGAAGAATAGAACTTTTATTGGAAACCTAGTAATATTAAGTGATTTTATTTATATGTTTAATTGGAAGTTCTTATGAAAATATTATAAAAGTTTGATTGCTTCTAATAATATTGTGTAACAATTTTTATTTTATGTACAGTGCACTCAATATAAAAATTGTAGAGGGTAAAATTATACAGTACTATTTAGGATAATTTTAGAACACACTATAGTAGATGAATCATGCTATGAAATTAATTTCACTGGAAAAAAAAGGAAATTGGCTTTGTGAAACTATAACTGCATTGATGCATTTTAGGCAAATAATATTGGTTATAATGTTTAAACTTTAAACTCAATCAGCAGTTATATAACAACCATAATTTTTATAATTCAAGCAATATTGTTTAGGGTGTCCCACAAGGATTTATTATTATTGATATACCTATCATCTGTGAGATAAAGACAATCAAATACTGTTTTTTTTTATATATCTTAAAAAATAACACTTATTCATTTAATATGTATTATATATGTATATATGTTTTTGTTAAAAGTTGAATAGAATTACTTACTTTAAATTGTTTATTTAAAAATTATAGGTACCTATTCTATATCATGTACAACATGTTTTCAGTGATGTCAGTCATCAGGTACCACTAAATTTTAAATCCTAGTTATTTAAGAGATATTTTTGGAGTTGAATAGTAAATAAAAGTAGATATGTTTTAAATGATGAAACGTGCATTGTGTATAAATGTATCATGCGTGGGCGCAAATAGGGGGGATGGCTTTATACTTTATAGGCACAGCCCCCCAAACATTTTCTACATTTTTTTTAAGCTTTATCAGTATTATTATAGCTTACGATGCAAAACTTCGTACTTAGATACTTTCTATATCAATTTTTTCAACTTAAAATGTGAAATTAATGTAGTGAAAAACATGATGAAAGAAGTTGATTTTGAAAATATTAAAAATTAGGCAAGTAACAGTCACATTACCAGTAAGCTCAGCCACATGTGAAAAGTCCTTTTCATCTATGAGAAGAATCAACACATATGTCCCAGCTAACATGACTCAGGGCAGATTTACTAATTTAGCAATATTGAATATCAAAAAGGAGACTACAGAAGATACCGACATAATTTTAAATACATTTGCTAAGTACAACAGAAGAATACAGCTTTAAATAAAAATTAATAAATAATAATTTGTTGTTACCTGTTGCTCCAAAGCCATACTTAATGTATTAATTATTCTTATTGTTTTCCAAAAATTATGTGGACGTGGTATTTAATGTAAGTATATTTTATATCATAAATATAATTTTGACAACTATTATAGGTAGATGAAGTAGAACATCTGAAAAATTGCTTAGTAAGTTTTATTTTCTGTCAATATTGTAATTAAGTACACAGTACATGACATACCTATATGTTGAATTCAAAAATTTGTTAGGCTTTAATTACTTGCTTAAATGCTTCATTCTGTAGTTAGGGCTTCAGCCCCCCAAATCTCAAACGCCATTTCAGCCTATGAATTATCATGCCTACTGATTACTAGAATGAGTAGAACCTTATTAAGTCTTATCCTACCAAGTTGTTATATAAGTGTTATAACTTGTAATTAAAGTCTTAATAATATATCATGTGGATGTGATTGTATTTTATGGTTGTATTCAACTTGATTTTTATTAACATAAAATATTTATACATATTATACATTTACTGTTCAACAATAATTTCCATCGACTACCCCGGATGCAGCATATTTGTAAATAAAAAGCTTCTAACGTCATTTAAAAGAGAGATAAAAAAAAATTTTTTTTAATTTTTAATTGTATTAATAATTTTTTTTAAACTAAAAATATTTTATTGAATGTTAATACAAAAAAATAATTACCATGTATTACAGAGTTAATAAATAAGTAGCATCATAATGTTGTAAGTATTTAGTATGGTATTGTACATTGTAGCACAATACACAAATTACAATTTTAATATTGTTATTATGTAGGTACCTACTCCTTTTAAAGGATTACTTTATACACCCTTTGTAAGACTCTTACGGCTATCCCTCGAAGGATTTCTGAATTGGTATCCTTGTAGCATACATTCAAAGACTGGAAGAACAGTTATACAAATCCATATTGAAGGGACTCCCCTTCTTTCCTGATGAGGACTCCGTAAAGAATCCTTTAGAACACTTTGTGCAATACTATAAGATATTGTAAGTAGTAAATCTAATAATATATTATTACACAAAATGTATAGTCGTAAATGTCAGTAGGTACCTAGTCAACAGTTATCCATTCCTACATTTAAGTTTATGATAGTTAATTTTCATTGTTATAAGTGTAAATGAATTCACACAGTAATTATTGTGAAATAGTAATATTTTTCATCTATTATAACATAAATGAAAATCCAAAAAACGTTATTTAATATAATACTTAACAACACTAGTACTAGTACTAGAACTTCTCAACAAATATAAAATTTAGTCTTGAATATGTTGAGATAATTATAATTCAAACCATAGGTGGTGAGAGGGGCAACGCCCCCTCAAGTTAGTGACAACTGGATGAATTTATACCCGCTCCTCAAGAAAATAATGTATACACCTCTGAGTGTGTCGTTATAGTAACCACACTAGAATATAGCAGTGCATCGTATGTACGGATGTGCCACTGATAAATATTATGAAAATTGTTAATATAAATCATACCATAGATTCTATGGCATAGAATATTATAAAAATTATTTTATTTTTAAAAACTACACAGTATATTAGAGAAAATACAGCTGTTTATGACACATGCTCGGAGTCTGGTATTTATTATTGTATTTACGGTCATACGTATGCCGCGTAGGTGGGAAAAATACTCTTAACGAGAACCGAGAGGACTAAAAGAAGTAGAGGGTAGACCTATATCATATTCAGAAGTGATGTGACTAAGCCAGAATGAGCACCTTCACACCAGTCTCACGTTTTTTTTTTTTTTTTTTTCTCACCACTCTCACCTTTTTATTATTATTTAGGACTTCAAATAATTTTGATCCATAATATTTGAGGGCTTAGAAAATAAATTAGTCAAATCAATTATTTTTTTAACACTAAGAATTATTTATTAAACTGAATATTTAATACGTTATAACAATTACAGTTTAACTATTACGTGTTTATTTAGAGCATTTTAAATACAACAATTTAATAATATCCAGACTACATTCTATTCCAATTAACGACACGTATAAGCGGGGGATAACTAGTAACTACAGAACGTACTATCTAGAAGGCCCAAGGGGATTTAGTTACAGGGGAACTAATTGACTCATTGGTAAGGTGATACGTCGTCTAATCGTGCCTTCGTGCGATCGTATTATCACTTATCAACACTCGAACGGTGATAGCGAAACGTTTGGCACCGCCTCATCACCAAACAAACTCCTGTTGGCTTGCGGAGCTGCTTCGCGTTCAGGTGCCGTTCTAATCGCCCTCACATAAACAAGCATCAGCCATCAGCGCGTCAGCGTGCTAGCGCCGGACAGACGCCATTTGCATCGACGCTACAGACTCGTTTGTCGTTATCGTTCTGCCGCCACTCGTCATTCTTTGACACCATGGACAACAGCTCTGAACGTGTTCCGCCGAACGACTCGCCCGCACAGTACAACAATGTCGGCAACGACAACGACAATGGAAACTATGTCGGCAACGACAATGGAAATTATGTCAGCAACGACAACGACCACACCGCCGAAAACACTGGTGTAAGTAGAAAGCTGTAGTCAGTAAGGTATTTTTATTTTGTTTAAGTATTCACGACTTGCGTTTTGTCGGTCGTCTTCCCCGTATTGTCTCGCTACTATAATTATATAATAAGTGTATCTACATTTTTTTTCAAAGGTTTTGCGAATCATTTGTATTGTTTATTTCAATTTTAACTTTCGCGACCTCATCTACTTTGCTTCTACAAGTATTTCTCTGATGGTCTATCAAGCTTATTGAAATATCATTGTCGTTGAATATATAGAGACGATAGTTTTTCCATTTTTAACATAATTTGTTTTTAATCGTCAACTGTTAATTAATGACATTAAGTATAAAGATAAATGGTTTGGTGCTTTAATGTGTGGTATTTGACTTGCTTGTAAGTATGGTTACTTTTCTACTTAACGGGACACCCTTTTTTTACAATTTTTTTGTTTTAATGTATGTAGTTAAACATAGGTACTGAAAACCATGGCGAAGACCGAATTAGGTGATAGGCCTTAGTTTTTTAATAGTCCCTACTTGAAATTGCACATACACCTGGCTTGTCACTCGCTTGCTCGGACTATTATGTTGTGGTATTTGTCTTTATTATATTTTACAATATTAAACAATATATTTTATTAAAAACAAATATTGCTGTCATAACTAATAATCAGTTAATTCATTATTAATAAGCACGAGACATGTGATTGAGTACAAGATTCTTATCATATAAAACCTAACAACCAAACCTATTTTAATTTCATGACACAGACAATTGAAAATATCGAAAACATCCCTTGACTTGTTATGTAAAACCACCTTGGGTGGGACTCATACTTCAAATATTTATAATTTCAAAACTAAGTGTGAGCTTCAAATTCTGACTTCACCATTTTTTCCAACATGCTCAGCTACATAAGTTAAAATAAAAAAGAGTGTTTCTGATAAAACAAATATATACTTTAAATGTATATGTTCATAATTGTTAGTATAATGATAATATTTTACTGCAGATTCAAAAACTCAAATAATTTTTAGGTACCATGCAAGTGTTTTTCTATATTATTCTATGAATATCCATGGCGAGATTTTTATGTAGCGGTTAGGTGTAGTCGGTTAGATACCTACAAATAGGCACATAAAGTTATTGGTAAATACCTGGTATTTATTTATTTAGTATTTTTTACTTTTCATATTGAGAAACTATAATAATAGGTTGGATGTGTATTGTTCATTATTAAGTTTCTTTGAAATTGATATTTTAATATTATTTAAATTTCACAATTTCATAAAATATAAGGATTATAGCAATACATCATAATTACTTTGAACTAGACAATAGTCAAAGTCAAGTAAATGATCAATAAACATTTGCTCTCAAAATTAAAGCTTTGAATCAAATTAATATATACTTTTGTTTAAAATACTAAGTACCTTCTATTTTGACAGACTCATTCTAAGATTAAACATAACTACAGATATATAAACATACTAGATAGAGCACGACAATCCGAAAAGTGTGTCTTGTTCCGTCATATGCAACCACGGCAATGTTTACAAATATTAACTGATAACAGCCAATGATAAATTATAATTTTGATAAATACATATTAAAAAAACTAGATCATATTATACTTGTATAACTAAAATCATTATTCTTGGTTATTTAATATGTAGACATGCAGTTTCGTTCAAATTTAAACTTAAAAATTAAAATAACTATACAAAAAACTGTGTACATATCATATGTGTATGTATAACTATTAATCATAAATGAGTGGAGAGAAGTAAAGGACTTAAAAAAATTAACAGATTTTATGCCTTTTCAAGGTAATATAATAACAAAAATGTGGGTTGATAATATAAGTATTAAATAATATGGACATTTCAATATAGTAAATATCAACTTACAAAAAAAAGTGGACATTCGAACCTAGAACTTGTCTATTCAAACACCCATGAGCAGAACAAGTGAAAATCATTATACCTATTATTAAAATAATACAATAATATAACCTTATATTTAAATTCTCATGTAGTTATGTTCTATTTGATATAATATATTTTCGTATGAGCTATGAAGTATGTTTTTATGTATGTTTAATAATTGTTGTGGTCTGTAGTCATTACGATTTATGATTATTGATTACTCGTTATCAATTCTGCATAATGTAAACATTGCCGTCTTCTCAAATGGCTGCCCTAGACACACGTTTAATAACATCTAGTATATGGTAGCCCGCTATCTAGTATGTTTATGTATCTGTGAACATAACAAAGTTAAATTAATTATTTAGAACGTACAATGTGCTATGTTATGTGTTTGTAAGACTGAGGCAAAGCATGAAGGTATGGCGATCTCTTAACGAATAATGTTATCTACTTTTCAAATATGTCACTGTTTATATATATATACTTAATTCACATTAATAACTTTCACTACAGCAGTTGGATTTTAATGTATAGTCTAATTTATTCGCCTGGACTGTGGAGTATATGTTTTGTATTTTTTACATTTTTTTTTCTTTACAGATTATGCCATCTCCAAGTCATAAGCCTGTTACACCTTCTCTAAGTTCAAAAAGTATTACAAAATCACCAGAGTGTACTATTCTTATCTGTGATATGAAAATTTATGAAAATCGTCTGAAGACTTTTAAAAAATGGCCATCAAAATGTATTACACCTGAAAAATTGGCTAGGGCTGGGTTTTATTATACAGGCATGCAAGATAAAGTAAGGTGTTTATACTGCCCAAATGAATTTGAATACTGGGGAAAAGATGACGATCCATATACTGAGCACAAATTGGCCTCTCCTCAGTGTCAATATTTCAAAGAAAAACTAGGTTAGCATTTTTAAATTACATTATTTTTGATATTTATATTTGCAATTTTAATAACTATTGTATCGGTATTTTTTATTATAAATTATATGTACATGTATTAAAATAAAACATACTAACAATTTATTTTTGCAGATCATAAATCTGATGTGATGACTACTTTTGTTCAAAACTTCTTACGTTCTGTTGGTATTGTGACAGATATGAATATGAAAGTTCTCTCAAATTATAAAGCATTAACTTCTTTGGAGTCTCGTAAGAAGACATTTGAAGCTTTCACTAAAAAACTAACCCATGATGTTCAAACTTTTTGTAAAGCTGGATTATTTTATATAGGTAACTTTGTAATATTTATAGTTTGTATGATCAAAATATATTATTAATACCTAATGTTTTTAATTTAAGGTGAAAACGATAGGATGTTATGTTTCTGCTGTAACCAAGGTCTGATGGATTGGGAAGTTGATGATGATCCTTGGGTTGAACATGCCCGGTGGTCACCACTTTGCAGTTACGTTCTTTTAAGTAAAGGCAAACGTTTTGTGGAAGAGGTTGGTGGTGAAGTAAACTATAGTTTACGAATTAACCTAGAGGTTAGTATTTTTTAATGAATTTTTATGACATAATTGATAATGTGCATTGTATTACTTTTACAGGAATTGAATAAGTTATTTACCATTCACAGACAACTTGCAGTTGATAGCGATACAATGAGGTTTGTTTATATGTAATTTGTGGTTGAGATCCTGATATATTAAAAAATTTAATGGCAGAATGAGTTACCAAAAAATAAAGAATACTTTATTTCACTGTAAATTTAGATACTATACATATTAAATAGTGTAAAGTGCATTAATAAAAATAATAATGATCTATACATATATTTTAGTAGCATTTGGGAATGAAACTATAGTTCTCAGATTTAATCTTTGTTTTCATTATTTAATAACAATATTTTGACATATAATATTATAAATAGACAATTTTTATTACAACATCTTAATTATAAATTTATATTACTTAAAGGCAATGTTGGTGTGTGTTTAATTGATTCATAGACCATAACCAAGTCTACCACACTCATTCTGCAATTTTGTACATACTCCTATACCCAAGGCTGTGCATCTCAAAGCCAATTTTTCCGAAATTTTGGATTTAAAAGAAGAACTTGTACAAGGATTTGTAGGCTTTTTGTTTTTGTTTGTATAGGGTTGCCATTGGCTATATAAAATAAAAGAGTAATTATAATTTTAGACTTACACATTATATTTGGTCAAACCCATCAGTTGACTTAGAAATATATGTAGTTAATATTTCTCCGAGTTTAAAATTTGGTAAATCTACTTCAACTGGCATTATTTAACTTTTCACGGGCAACACTGTGCAGGATTAGCTATAATTAATATTACTAATTTATATTAATTTATATCTACTTAATAAAATCAAAGGACTATAACAGAGTACACAGATTCCCTTATGCAAATCCACAGATTTGACTGATTGTTTTACAATTTTCTTCAGTATATCAAACAACATTTGCAGTGTCTCTTCAGTTAGAATACAATAATGTAATACAGGTACTATATTACTATGTACTGATGACCCACCAATATATACGTATAACACTTGAGATAACCATAGCCCATAGGAACGCCATACACGGACTGTCAAAATACGCTTTGTAATAGTTCCAAATGTTATTAATCTCAGGGAAGGCTTTGGTTAATAGTTATTAGTAGTTTTGAGAATAGGACAAGGGTAGTTACATTTCTTAATTTCTTATCAAAATTGATTTGCGTCATTTCGTCATGATAAAATATATGATATTACTAGCTGATCCCGTGCACTTTGTTGCCCATTAAAAATGCCATCTCTACATAAGAGACTTGATTGTGATAATGCGAGCAGTATATTATCAGGTAGGCAATCTACCTGCGGTAAACGTTGTTTTACCATACAAATTATTTCAAATGAATATTTTTGTAAAATAACTTAAAAATCCAAAATTATTATGAGTGTGTGGGGATGTTGTATACTGGCGTATAATTGAAAGAGATATGGAGCACTGTGAACGATGACGACCTATAAAAATAACAAAATAACCAAGTATTTCTTTTTTTTCCTAGTCCTCGCCTCCCATAAAGTAAATTTGTAAAAATGTATGTGGTTTGTTTGGCATCAATTAGGTTGCCCTCAATCTCACTTTTTGTTAAACTTGGACTTTGATTTTGACTGTTGAATTAAATTGTTGATCATTTGCTTAAATGATGACACCTTAACCCATTCGGCCACCACTGTTGTTGGAATTCTGGGATCGTAATAAGATTGTTAAGCCCTTGTAGTAAACCCACGTTAAAATTTTAATTATAATAATATTGTTTTTTATTTTTATGTCAGCAATATTATACATGGATGGATAATTTAATTTGTTTTTTTACTATGACAACAAAAAATTTAAATAAAAAAAGGCATTTGCTTTTTCTATTAATAATTAGATTAATTAAACATTCATGTTATAAGAAATGCAGGTATTAAATAAATGATTGCTAATTAGTAAAATAAAATAAAATTTTACACACGCAGTTTTTCTGGTAATGCCAACAACAGAAACTTTCATGTAGATAAAACCTAAATTTTATCTATGTAAAGAGAGGGTATTTACGGCCATAAATAAAATTGAACGTAATAAAAACGATACGAAAATTATCACTTTACTTTTAGTGGAACATAATATTAATATCTAATATTCAATACATGACATATTTCTCCATGTTGATCAATTTTTTTTGGTGTTAGCCAGGGGCCCATTTTAAAGATAAATTATGTCATATGGACAATTGTATAAGCTAAAGCTTGCTGTTGTAGCTTTTTCAATTCGTAAAAAACATTCCAGAACTCAAAAAAACCTACTGACAATTACGAATAATTAAAAAAAAATTTGAGCCAAATCGGCCCAGCCATTCTCAATTGATGAATTGTTATACATTTTTTGCTCAATTTTTATATATATAGAAATGAAAATATTTTTGCATTTGTTTATATACCATTAGATTTTTTTTGTCAATATATTCCTAAAACGTATTTTTTACATCAAATATTCTTTTTTAGACATTAAAAAAAGTTATATATTAGTTCATAGGGAAATGAATCATCGAAAAAACTTATCAAATTGAAGTTGCATACTCAATAAAAAAAGATGTAAAAATATTAAAATCTGGTCTATTTATAATAATATAAAATAAATCATTGCATGAGCAATCTCTCTGAAATAATAAGCAATATTATGACAATTTTTTTTTTTATAGTTTTACATTAATAATAGTGTCATATTCATAATAATTAATATATATTTTAAAGAACTTAAGTCATACTGCAATTGTTCTTTATTTTTATAGACAGTATGTATTTGAACAATATACAGGTAATCAAATTTAAACCAATCATTACTATACACATCGAAGTTCAATATTTTTTAAAAAATATTTAGATTTTAAAAAGTATTAAGCTGCTTGTATAATACAGATTGAAATTTATACTTTTTTAAGATGATGTATATTTTTTATGTTTGCAGAATTATTTTGTGACATTCTTAATTTATTAGTCTATTTGTTAGGTATTTTAAAGTAATTTTTATTTAAATTTAATTAATTGAATTGGATTTATATTTTACAAAGAAGTGACTCTTATCTTAAACATAACCTAAAATTGTAATCATTCTAGTTAGCAAAAACTTATATTTATAATAGACTATACGAAATGTCAATGTGATGGAAAATAGCATATTTATTTCTTGATGTATATAAAAAAAATACTGACCAAATTAAATCTAATTAAAACAATTAAGAGTTCAATTAAAATATTTAAAATTTTAAAAATAATAAGCAAAATTTGAAAGGGGTTTACTTTTCATTTATATTCAATTTAACTAAAGAATTGAATTTAAAACTTTAATATTTATTATATAATTAATCACCTTTTTAGTGTTAATGTATCCATAATATATATATCAATTGGAATTCCTTATAATGTTTGTATTCATTAAATTTAAACATTATTTCTTATATTGTATTATTAATGGTTTTTTTATTTTTAGAAATTTGGAAACATTAACCGAAAGTAATACATTTATGGACTTTTTGGAACCTATAACAATTATGCGCGTAAGTCAACGGGAACCATCTGCACCTGATTCAGTGTTATGCAAAATTTGCTTTAAAGAAAAATTGGAAGTGCTTTTCATGCCTTGTGGTCACGTTATTGCTTGTATTCAATGTGCAGTAACCCTTGATGTGTGTGCTGTATGCAGACAGCCGTTTACTTTGACTATGAGAGTTGGTCTTTATGTCACTAATCTAAAAGAATTCAGTTTAGAATATTTTCCATCGAAGTGTTCAGACGAACTAATTGATCCAGTTCTATGTAAAGTTTGTTGCAAAGAAGAAATGCAAGCTGTATTTTTACCATGTAGACACATATCCACTTGTTTTAAATGTGCACCAAAAATAAATCAATGTGTGGTATGTTTTGAACCAATATATGCATATATGCAAGTGTTCTTATAGCATTTATAAACAATGAAACAATCTAAATTTATGTATAAAAACAATTTAATATACAATCATAAATAATGATTTTTTTTATCTTTAGTGTAATATTAGTTTGTTAATTATTTAATAAGCATTTATAATTGTAAGACTCAAGTTAGAATTAAGTAAATGGAACAATATTATCGACTGATTTTTTGTCTTAAACATTGCTTTAATTTTTGTTTAGGTTAAACCAAATGTGTAACTTTTTTTAACCTGCCATATTTATGACTGTATTTGTACTACTATATTTAATATATTGACATTGATAATATGATTGACAGTATATTATAATTTAAAAAAAAACTAATTTTAGTATTGATTGGAAAACATAAATACTTTGGGTACCATCCAGTTAATTATTGAAAAATATACTGCAATAAATGTAATATTAAGTTGACATTAAATTCAAGAGTTATAACCAAAAATGTACACAATTATACTAGTAAATCTATTTTATTTTTTTCTTGTACTTTACCTTAGTTGTAAATTAAATTATCATATTAAATGCAAATGTCTTTTAATTTTTGCGATTATATAAAATACTGTTATTGTGTTAAGAATTAATAATTAAGTTCATTAATGCATATTGACATTTTATTTTAGTACCTTTTTTATATTTAAGTATAATTTAAGACTGTAATATTATTGTATTGCCAATATTATTTATTTTTATTCATAATGATACATTTTATATATAACATTTTCATTTGATATCAGACAACAAATAAATATCTTAATTATTAAGGTATTCTCATTCTTGAAATTAATATTGTTCAATGGCCTGCCACTAAGTGTGTAATGCCAAGGTTAGAAGGTTACATAGTAATCTACAAGTGGGTCATTGTAATTTATGGTGCTTCATCTGAATTAAATGATTCTGAGCGAAGACTGTCTGTCAGCCTAAAATATTACTTAGTAATTTAGTGTATTTGCTATTGTGATTAAAGTAATTTGTTTCCCTAGTAAGCATTAATACTACACAGTAGATTAAATTCAGTTTTGCCAAGAAAGTCATTGTGTCTATAAAGTATATTAATATTTAATATACTTAAAAGTTTCAAGTTGACAACAAATAATATTTTAAATTTACAACTAAATAAATCATTATTATTGGTTATTTAATAATTAATTTCGTCCACATTTCAACATGATAAGCTAAAAAAAATACTACTTATATATTTTTAGATTTTTTGGTTACAAAATTATCTACTTGCTTGGAACTTTGTTTTGAATTCCAATCCTTGGCTATAAAAGTTAAAAATTTAAAAAAATGTAAGCTAATTTAAATAGCTAAAGTATAATTTTAATATTTTTTTAACAGATATTGTAAATAGTATGTTACCTCTTAGCCTGTTATATATTTAAGTCTTGTATGAAATTGGTCAAATGGACAAGTAATTTAAATTTCTCTTCTGCAAGTTTTCATGCCTACTAAATTACCTGACACCGAGAATTTAGCTCTCAGATAAGTTTAACTACTCTCCTTTTTTTCTGAACATTTTGTTAGGTCTGGCATTGAACACATACGCTTAGGAACAACATCATTGTTTCATACTATATGATATTTTTGGATTTATTCTGTAATTTTTTTATCACTGCCAACACTGGGCATTTTATATTAACACGACTACCACGAGAGCAAAAATGTTTCGGTTTTTTTCCTCTTGTACCAAAATATTACTTAGTAATTTAGTATATTTGTTATTATTGTGATTAAAGTAATTCATCAAAATTTAAATTTTTTCTTTAACAGTTAATGATACTAAAAAAAACCAATGCTTACATAAAGTTATACATTCTCTCACGGTACACAAGTGACACAATTCAATTTTGTGTTTGAATTTTTGTGAGTCCCCGAGCTCCTCATCAAATTTTTATTTATTTTTGAGAAAATATACCTCACTTATGAAAAATAATTATTTGAATCACCTTGGATAAAAATATTATCTACTAATAATTCACACACAGCAAAATTATATTTTGACAATATTTAAACAATATTTTTATGCTTAAATTTAAATATTACATGGAAAGATAATATTGCCCTTCTACAATGTTAAAACAATCAACTCCTAATATTCTGAAGATGTTGTAATATTCTATACATTTACTCTTCTCACAATATTGTATGTAATTTTTAAATACAGAACAGGAAATAAAATTAAACAATTATTTAATGGTTCTGATTTAATATATTATATTAAAATCCAATAACATACAATGTATAATGTGTATATAGGTAAATAATTTGCAAACATAATATATTATGTAGCTATTTTAATAGTTGATTACACTATTTACTTTGACATTTATAAAAAAAAATAAAAATGTATGAGTATAAAATTTTAAAATTATGTTGTACATGGCTTTCCTAGCTATATGTTATAATCATAGTATAATATTAAATAATTATTATTATTACTTTCTGCTGATTACTTTTTACCTTTTTCAAATACATTGTAATTTATAATATAAAATATACATTTATAAAATACAAATTACATACAAATAACAGTATATATTTTTAAAATCATAATAATAGTTTACAAGTTTTTACTAAAAAATAAAAAGATATAATATAATATATAGTATTTATTGGCTTTCCGAGCTTCATTATCAGTTAATAATAAAAATTGTAAATTAATTTAGTTTAATGTAACATAACTTGTTATTATAATAGTTGCATTATAATACATTTTAGTCCTTTTATCAGCTTCTCGCCCTTTTTTGAATCCGTTCTAATGCTTGAGCCATCCAGTGTCTTGATTCTATATAGACATAGTTAGTATATATTATAACATATAAATCAATGATTTAAATTTTGGGTACTTAAAGTAAAAAAAAAAAATGTGTGTACTTAACATATTTGTTTATTTTAAACAATTTTAACTTTTAACCTAAGCGCTTTTTATTTTATTAGATTTTAAGCGTACAGGTATGTTTATATGCCTACTATTAAGTATATTATCTAAAATTATATTTACTACTTTTTTTTAAAAATTTACCAACAAAATAGTTTTGAAGTAATGTGTTGATTGTAATTGTTGGCTTAATTAATGCATGATTATTAAATCTGCATTAATTCAATTATTGATGAAAATAGTTGACTGCTATTAGCTGGTTAAGTAGATATAATATGTACTTGCATGTGAATATTCATATGATTTCACTATGTCAGGGATGCAAACGTAAGAATGGACATATTATTGGGACAAAAATTTCAAAAATGTTAGAATTTGGTCTATAATGTTATAATTTATAATATAGGTATCTACTATTATAATAATGGCATGTAATAATTTCCTTTTGTTTTTTCATAAAACATAACTTAGAAATTTAAGACAAAGTGTGGGCTGTTTATAATATAATACTAATATTTTAATTACGAATATTAAACTAATTGTATGCATACATATTTACTGCAAATAATTTATTATTATTATAATTATATTATATCAATTGAATTCACTGTTTATAACTATTATATCGTAAATATTGTAGATTAACAACAACAACAAAATCTATAAGTTGAAGAGTAAAAATAGGGAAGAAAACATTCAAAAGTAAATGTATGAATGTATATTTTTTATAATTTAATTTATTTTTAAAATTGTAATTTTTATATATATTGTTAACTATGCCACAGTTGGTTACAGATATGGATTATAGGAAAAACTCAACACACTTTATAAAATTTGTCAAAAAAAATGGTAGAGATAGCATTGATTTCATACCATTATCATGGACATATTTGGAGAACAGATTATTAAACTGTAAATATCCAGATAAAAAAGATTATACCAAAATTAATAAGATGAGGAAAACTTTGTCTAATCATAAAGAATCTTGGAAAGGCTTTGGAATCAGTATAATTTCAGAAGCTAGTAAGTATAAGACCCTAAATAACTTATTTACAATAGCTTACATAAGTATTTAACAACATTTATAAAATTAGTATTTAATCAACTATAAGCTTTTATTTATAACAATGTATTTTAAGAAAGAATGAATTGAAAGTTGAAAATGCAAAAACATATTGCAAATATTAGTTATTACCAAAATCTATCTTATTTTATAGTTTCATAGTTTAAAAAAAATCAATAAATACAAAATATAAAACTAGGTATTTTATTTTTTAATTTCTTCAAATGTTTTTTTTTTTAGTTTTCCCCCTAACCTCATTTTACATTTTAGGAAATTATTAACAAGTTGTCAGGCAAATGAATATTGAAATATACATACATTTAAATCATACAAATTACATAAATGTGTACAAAAAAAGAAGAAAATTACATAACAATTGATATCATCACATATTGTGAGTAAACATGTGTAGATGATAAATTATTTTTTTTGAAATTTTTTTCTATAATATAAAATCATAGCTTTCACGAAAAGCATGAAAAATTGTCCGAAGTCACCCCACTTACGGTACATTACATGCATTACATGTAATCAAACATAATTACAGTGACCTACACGACGAAACCTCATGTACAGCAGAGCATAATGACTTGCCAACCTTTTTTTCTATTGATGGATTTATATAATATTTTAAGAAATGTTTTTATAATTAGTAATCACCTATACATTTTTTAAATTCTCTTTCGAGAATATTTTAAAGATTTTTGTTTTTCACAAAAGAAATAATAACAATTTACTTATATTTTAAGTTGTAAAATTATTTATATCATTCTGCAGCAACTCTCTCGTTAGGTATATATAACATTTATTTGAGAATATGTAATTTAATTTAATTCATTTAAAAAAATTAACATTGTAAATACCACGAATTTTCGTTTCTTATTTCTATTTTACAAAAATAGAAATTACAATATTAAAATAAATACTCACCGGACACTTACTCGTCTTGTTCGTTCATTTACTTCATAATCATAGCATAATATATGCATACCTATTTTAATCTAAAGGAACTCAACAAAATGCAATAAGTATATGTACCTGGTGTAGTGATGTACCTAACTATTACACATAGGCAAGATAAAAGTGAAATGAAAGTTTTAAAAGTGACTGAAGTTTAGATTGAATGTGTTATACTATGATAGAATACAATCAAGACAAAGTATATAGACTGCCAAAAAACTCAAATCAAATACATATAATTTTTATATAGTACGTTTCTAGTTAATCATTATCGTTAAAGGCTTAAAGATAAAATCGTTAATCGATTATTAAATCTTCACAAGATTTAATAAACTTAACTTTATATTATATTATAGGAATAGTACATCAGTCGAATCGTGGAAAAAAAGCCCAGAAATATAAATATAAATGTGAACACTTGTATACTCTACTCCCAATTAGTAATTACCTTGTGCCTTTAACAAAATATAATATATTTATATATTAACTATATATTATAATAACTATTATAATCATATATAAACTATTGATTTGTACTATGAGAAAAAAAACGTGAAAAATGTATGAATGTATGTATATTGTATAATTTAAAAAAATGTGTACAGATTTAAATAAGTAAAGTAAAAAAATTTAATTAAAGTTAACGAGAACATTATATCAATATTGAAGATGAACTATTGATACCACATAGAATATTAATAGCAATGCGATACTATGTGCAGACTGCAGGATCAGACTAGCGTTTTTTCGGCTGCCGATAATACGCAGGCCGATCGGTAAACGACCGAGAATCGAGATATCTAAAATTAACATAATATAAGGGTCCAAACAGACGACAGGTTTTTGCCGGTCGGCAAAAGTCGGACGGCAAACGCCGGACGTTCGAATGTCACTTGGGGATCTGCCGTCCGGCAATATTGTATGTTATAATTAGAGGATATCAACCAGGTATCAATTGGGTAGAGCAAAGTGAAAAATTATTTTTCTCGTGAGCTCAGTTGAAAGTGTTATGGTGAGTTGTAACCATGGACTCCACAGCACTAGCATTAATTGCACTGCAATACTTGCAAAAAAAAGTAAAAAGAAAAATTAAAAATCGTCGTTGGTGGGTACATCCGGTGTTAGTAAATAGGATGAATCAAGGGCATTTTATAGTGACCTATTATGAGCTAAGAACTAATGAAGGTAAGTTTAATGGTAAATATATTATAATATGTAAGTAATACATGTATTATGAGTTTATTATTTATTAATTATTCAACAAAAATAATACTCGGGTTTATGTTACGATTTGTTTTGTAATATATCTACTCGCAAGTTGCAATATATAATATGTTAATACATATATTATAATAAAACAACTTGCTCATAACGAAAATGGTTTTATAAGTTAATTGTTTTTTTTTAGATGAATTTTTTAGTTATACCCGAATATCTATGTCTACATTTAATGAGTTATATGATTTGTTAAAAATAAATTTAACAAAGCAATCAACCAATATGAGGATCCCTATTGGTCCAAAGGAACGTTTAATTATAACATTGAGGTATAGTAAATTATTTTACTGATTGTCCCACTCCCCACATATTTCGATTTGATGTTATAAAATATATATTTTTTAATAGTTTTACTTTTAATTATATATTTAATATGTTAGCTATAATTCTTATTTATTCTAATCCTAATTAAATAGAAAAAATCAAATCATTTAATATTAACAACAAAATAATAAATAATTGTTTACTCAAATATTCAATACAATTTATTTTAATGACATCATAGTAATGTATTTATGATACTAGACTTAAGCATAGTTAATTGAATATAAATTAACATGAATACAAATAATTCCTTTAAACTTGACAATATTAAAATAATAATTTAAGTCGTATTTATCAAAACCTTTTTTAGACAAATTTCTATAGAATTTGTAAACTATATCTACCTTAGTTAAAATAATTTAAATTTTACAATACAAATTATAATATTATAACGATATAAAATATAAATAATTAGTTAAAAAAAAAAGCCTTAACTAAATAATAGAGAAAAAAGTTGATTCACTTATTTGTATGATCTAGTACTTACCTAGTACTTACACACATACACATTTTTATTAAAATATTAAGAAGTGTGAATAGATGATAGATCATATGGAGAACGCTGCAATGTATTTGTTGAAGTTGACTGTGAATGATCTTGAGTTAAAAAGTCAGATGTTACGGTTATGTTTGATTGATTATACTGTAATGTTTGATCTCCTTGAGTTACTGAATATGTTGTTGGTTGTGTTGGAGAGAAATGTTGATGATAGTAATGATCTGTAGATTGATTTTGTATATAAGTATTTGAAAGTATTTGATTGTAAGGGCTATTTGATTGTGGTCTAGATTGATGATATAATTGGTTAGAATCAATTTGAGACACATTTTGATATTTGCTAATAAGTAAGTTTATTTCTGCTTTGAGTTTTAATTTATATTGTAAAGGAACTCTTTTAATTTCCGGTACTAGTGACATGGCAAAATGGTAGTCTTCGTCTTCGGATTTTGATTTTTGTTTAATAAAATCTAATATACTTTGTGCTTCGTCGTTTTCATGTGTGCGTTTTGATGTTTTTTTGTATCCAACTTTTTTTTGTTTTGAATTTGTTTTGGCTGGACTGATGACATCATTAGACTGTTCCGAACAGATCGATTGATTATCATTGTCTTCATCACAATAGTTAGACTCCGTTCTAAAAAGATTATTATAATAAAATTGAGAAGAAATATAGTTAAATAGTATTAAATAATAAACTATAATTTAGTAAAATTTTACAATATTATGCTTTATAAAAGAAAAAATATACATAACGAATAAATATAATGAAATAATGTTGTTGAAAATATTATACTTACTCTCTCTGTTCAAATGTTGAGTCCAAAAAATCCAAAAAATTTGCATATAAATATTTTTTTGTTTTTTTTGCGCCTGCGCCTGAACTTTTTTTAGTCTTTCTTTTATATTTTCTGTATGAGTCGCGTATATTGTTCCATTTTTTTTCATATCTGTTTCTGCATCATCAAAACAAGCAAATGATAATTTTATTTTTAATTTAAAATTCCCAGGAACACCAGGAAAATAAATAAAAAAATTAAGGAAAAATGGGAATTTTTACGCAAAATCGGTTTTCAACAAAATCGATTTTGGTTTTTGGTATAGGTAACTCTAAAACTAATGAGTCATAATGACCATATAGATTCAAAAAATTCATACCAAATGTTTATTTATCATTTCTTATACCGACTTAAAAAATTTTCAAAATATTTTGACTCGTTTTGAGCTGTTTACAAGCATTTTTAAAATTTTAATGTTTTTAGTCTTTTTCCTATAAATGCGGTTGATAAAATTGTATTCGTTGAGTCAAAATGCTTAAAAATGTAACACAAGGCTCCTCACACATTATTACAATATCAGCTTAAAAATTTAAAAAATACATAATACGCAAGCATTTTAGATTCTGAGCGGAGCGATGAATGTATTGATTTTACAATGATGTGTGTTTTTTTTTTTTTTGTGTCTGTCAACACGATTTCTTGCAGTAAAAGTGCTTTGATTTTCTTAAATAGCACCGTTTCTGGTAGGAAAGTGAATCTAGTTGGTGCATTCGGGAGGTCAAAATTTGAAATTCCTAACAGTTTTCAAAAACGATAGGAAAAACAAACAAAAAATTAAGGAAAAACGGGAATTTTTACGCAAAACCAGTTTTCGAAAAAACCAATTTTGGTTTTTAGTGTAACTCAAACAAAAACGACCGTAGATACTTGAAATTTTCACTGAATATCTGGATTGTCGTTTTCTATACACCATAACATTTTCAAAATATTTTGATTTGTTTTGAACTATTTATAGCCATATGAAATTTTCGATTATTATTTGTTTTTTTTAAACTAAAGTCGATAAAAAAATTTTTGCTAAGTCAAAACACTTGTAAATGTAATACAAGGTTCCTTGTAAGTTTTTGTTTATGGAAATTAAAAAAAATGTTGAGCGTAAATTCACAATAATTTTTTATGAGCGTTTAAACATAGTATTTCGACAAAATTCGTAAAAATCACGAAAATTAGCAAATTATATTTAGTAAGAAATTCATAAAAATTTTTCTATTAATATCTAAGATTTAAAAATTTAATACAAGATTCCTTACAAGTTTGCCTACCTTTATCAAAAAAAAAATTTCTATCGGAAACTCAAATTAAATTTTTATGAGCGTTTGAAATTGAAATTTTTATAACACTGTATATTCACTCGATTTCTCTTGTAGCAATTTTCTTATTTTGTTGTGATTTAAAAACGAATTACTGTAAACACTTGAAATTTACACCAAATGTTTATTTTATCAATTTCTATACTTGATAAAATTTTCAAAATATTTTGACTCGTTTTAAGCTGTTGACGGACATTTTTTTTTCATTTTTTTTCTATAAAAATCAATAAAATTTTATTGGTTGGGTCAAAAAACATGAAAATTTAATCCAAGACTCATGATAAGTTGTTACAATTGCAGTTGAAAAATATAAAAAATACATAGGCACGATTTTTTTTTATAAGCATTTAAAGTTCAAATTTTGACAATATTTATCAAATTGAAAATTGAAAATGATTTTGTAGTTAAAAATGTATAAAATTTTCAATTTTCATAGTTAAGAAATGAAAATTTAAAACAAGGTTCCCCTTGAGCAGTTCTTTCTGCAACTGAAAAATCTAAAAAATAAACGAATACAGTTATTTTTTACAGACATTTTAAGTTAAAATTTTGACAAAACTGCATATTAACACAAAGAAAAACGTTTATCATTTTGATGTAATTCGGTTCCAAAACAGCCCAATTTTACATAGGTATATTTAATATTTTTCCAGCTTCACTGATGATTTAAGAATAATATTAATTCAACTTAGGGGCTGCCATAGTAATAATAAGTAATATCAATATAAAATATAAAATATCCTAAACTGACATACCGTCTCCGCTCAGACTCGTTTTTCTTATACAATGATTTGATATCATTGAATTCAAATTTAATACCATACATTACAGCGTCCACTTAGACACCTAATGTACAGCAGAGCGACATCCACTTACCCACTTTTTTTATATGATTTTAAAGTTTTAAATTTTGACATTTTAATTATTTTTTTATTAGATATTTAGCCACTGGCTGTTCATTTTCTGAACTGCGTGTAAATTTTAAAGTCGGTGCAAGTACTGCCCGTGGCATAGTTTTAGATACATGCAATATAATTTGGGAAAAAATGAAAGCTTTATGCATGCCAGAATTAACTAGAGAAGAATGGCTAGAAATAGCCAAAGTTTACGCTAAAAAAGCAAACTTTCCCCACTGCCTCGGAGCTATTGACGGGAAGCATATCCGAATTAGAAAACCTAAAAATACGGGATCAGAATATTTTAATTATAAAAATTATTTTTCTGTTGTTTTGAATATGAAAAAGTTGCATTAAAAACAAACATTAAAGACTGCAGTCAATAATATCAGTATACCTCAACCCATAGCGTTATTTCAAATAAATAAATAATGGTAAAATGAATATGTATAAATAACCAGCTGGTTATCAAAATTTAAAAATGGCGTTTAAGTCATTGAGAATTCAATTTTTAAAATAAAAATGGAAATTGGGACATTGGTACCCTTGCTGTATGTAAACTAATTTTTTTTATTATACGATCAAAACGATTTCTTAAATTAATATTTATTAATAATAATATTTTTCAATTTTCAAATTGCTTTTCTCTTAATTTTTACTCCTAATACTCTAACAGTCTCTAGCTACTTCAATAATAAAGTATTAAAGTGTAATATAATATGGACTCCACAAGCATTTAATAATACGTAGGTACATTGTACGAGATATATAACAACACATAGGTATGTTTATATGAGTAGTATATAATAACTTTGGTAGGTATATAAAATAAATTGCCGCAGTTTGTATAAAGTGTCTTATCAGATTTGTCGCAGATTGCATTATGTTAAATTTTTTTTTGACGCAGTTTACATATCGAAATTTAGAAAAAGATTAATTTTGCCGCAGTTTACCATTTCAAGGTGCCGGAAGGCAAATGCATTTGATAATCAAAAAAAAAAAATATGACAATAGTTGCATTAAAAACAAACATTAAAGACTGCAGTCAATAATATCAGTATACCTCAACCCATAGCGTTATTTCAAATAAATAAATAATGGTTAAATGAATATGTATAAATAACCAGCTGGTTATCAAAATTTAAAAATGGCGTTTAAGTCATTGAGAATTCAATTTTTAAAATAAAAATGGAAATTGGGACAGTGGTACCCTTGCTGTATGTAAACTAATTTTTTTTATTATACGATCAAAACGATTTCTTAAATTAATATTTATTAATAATATTATTTTTCAATTTTAAAATTGCTTTTCTCTTAATTTTTACTCCTAATACTCTAACAGTCTCTAGCTACTTCAATAATAAAGTATTAAAGTGTAATATAATATGGACTCCACAAGCATTTAACAATACGTAGGTACATTGTACGAGATATATAACAACACTTAGGCATGTATATATGAGTAGTACATAATAATTTTGGTAGGTATATAAAATAAATTGCGGCAGTTTGTATAATGTGTCTTATCAGTTTTGTCGCAGATTGTATTATGTTCAATTTTTTTTTGACACAGTTTACATATCGACTTTTAGAAAAAGGTTAATTTTGCCGCAGTTTACCATTTCAAGGCGCCCGCAGGCAAATGCATTTGATAATCAAAAAAAAAAAAAAATATTACAATATGTGCATTAAAAACAAACATTAAAGACTGCAGTCAACAATATCAAAATACCTAAACTTGTTGCATTATTTATATTAATTAAATAATTTTAAAATGAATATGTATAAGGAACAAGCCAGTTATCAAAATTTAAAGATGGCATTGATGTCATTGAGAATTCAATTTTCAAAATAAAAATGGGAAGGGGGACATTGGCACCTGCAGGCAAATGCGTTTTGAGAAACAAAAAAAAAAAAAAATTATAAAAAAAGTTGTATTAAAAACATACATTAAAGACTACAGTCTAAATCTACCAAATATTAAATCGAAAATGCCATTACACCTCATTTATTATTTAAACATTGGTGATTTAGAT